CCAATTCCCATTGAAAATCACCATCTAGTTAGTTAGCCGCTCTGAAAATCCCATTTGAGAAGTTGCATAAACTTTTTCCCATCTAAAGAATGATCCTACATTGGTGCGACAAGTTATTGGGCTAGCAAGTTCAAAGATGGCTTGGGTCCTGCCCACATCCCATCCCATGCCAAAATGGTGCGCAGGTGCAAATAGGCCACAAAGGGTCAGCAGTGGGCCAAGAATGGGTGTGTCCATTGGTGGGACTCCTCACATCGTTACCCTAACTCCACACATTGAGGGCACTGGAAAACTCCTGCTTCATTAAAGGAATAAATGAAGATACACTCCTGAAGTCACTGGAAGGAGGGCTAGGTTTCCAAAGTCATTTAGGAGCATAAAGATAAACATAGACACTTATCAGAGGGGCAGCCGTGTTAGTCTGGATCTGTAAAAAGCGACAAAGAGTCCTGTGGCACCTTGTAGACTAACAGACGTTTTGGAGCATAAGCTTTCGTGGGTGAATACTCACTTCATCAGATGCATGACATTTAAGCACTTAACTCCCACTGAAATGAATGGGAGTTAGGCACCCAAATACCTTGAGGAACTTGGCTTAATGGGGTTTTCAAAAGTGCCTAAGCAGATTAGCCACTTAAGAGTCAATGAGTGTTAAGCACTTCATCAGTATAGCTGATTTGGAAAATCTCACTAGGCACCTGTCTACTTCTTTCTGTGCCTACACACTGTTAGAAATCTGGCCTACAAACTCAAAGTATGAGTGGGCCCCTCAAGGTCTGGCTGCTGTTGCTTCTGTGGAGGGTGTCTGGTACATGAGCAGGGAATGACAAATATTTTGTGATGTGTCTTGTTTTCCTGTGTTCCAGTGTAACAAAGCACTTTCTAACTTGACTGAATGACGGAAACAGATCTTCCCAAAAGGATTTTTTTAACCTTATTTTAATAAAGGAAATGTAAAGGATCTTTAAGAATGAAATGCAGTGTCCACTAGATTTCAGCCCAGGGCAACAAAATGAGAAATGGGCACGTACAGTCACTGATTTCCCAGGTCAAACTGGATCAGATCCCCAGTTGGTGTAATCTAGCATTGCTCAATCAAAATCGATGAAGATATGCTGATGTACACAAGGCGAGGCTCTGGTCCATGTGGTTTGAATAGGTTGTGATTCCCTAAGCTCCTCCAAGAATCAGGCACATGGGGTGTAAACATGGGGTGAGATTCTTTTCCTATTCCAGTGTAAACCTTGAGGAACTCCCCTGAAGTCAATGCAGTTTTACCTGTGTAAAACCAGAGTAAGTGTGTGGATGATGAAGCAAAGAGACTCTGCTATTTTGGGCCATGGGAATCAATAGTCCGGATTCTACCTCTTTTTGACCCCAGTGTAAATCAGAAGTAATTCCATTGCAGTCAGTGGGGCTCTTTCCCCCTCACTCATTCCAGCGTAATTTGTCCACTTTCTGTGCCTCGGTTTCCCCATCTGTAAAATGAGGATAATGATACTGACCTGCTTGGTAAAGTGCTTTGAGATCTGCTGACTGAAAGCCCAGTATAAAAGTATTATTCTTATTGCCTGGCTGGCAAAAGAATCTGTCCCACTCTGCTCTTTTATTCAGCCCACTCTTTTGGGGACAATATTCATGAATAATGAATGGAGGTTTGACATGATGCAAGAGCATGTAAAATATGTTCAGAATGTAGAGCAGGGATGTCTACCAAGGTAGGAGTGTGAGTTCAAAAAACCAACAAAGGCACGTGGGATTTACAGCCAGCTTCTCTGAGAACTGGCCTGACTTATTTATTTAATGACTCCACAAGCAATTTGCTCTGTAGTTATGAGAAAGTCCGTGAATTTCTCAGAAGATCATGTCCCAAGGTGTCTCCTGAGCAGATGAATTAAGCCATCCTGAGTCGAACACTTCTATTTTGCCTGAAGAGAGCATATAAGAAAACAATAGCATATGAGAGAGAGAGAGAGCGAGGTGACAGTGGAATATACAAAGAAAGAAAGAAAGAGTAGCATATAAGATATATATTGTTCATTTTCAAATATAAGAATATATCCTATTAAGGATATTTGATGGTTGACTCCATTAGAGCAAGTTGAGTGCTTGAACCTTTTGACAAATTTCAAAAAGTGTGTGTTTGAGAAGCAGCATTATTGTCTGCTTTTTTAACATAATAACTGCACTGGCTTTCTCTCCATGCTAAGAAATCACTTTCTGCTGCATTTGATGTGATATCAAACATTTTTCCAATGTAGGATGCATGCACAGATCTACCACCCACACAGTGTGTATATTTTGAAAGTTCTTGAGTATCTTCCCAGAATATTTAGGATTTAACCAGCTTAACTGAAATCAGAACCTGATGTTTATATTATTATTATTCCTAGCATTAATACTAGTTTAGATTTCTTAAACAGTACAATTTTTGCACTCTGATTTTCTTTTAATTGTTTGTGCTGGTTTTTTTAGAGCTGGATTTTCATCGAATTCTAAAGGAGGTCGATGCACAAATCCCACTTAAATCCAATGTTTTTGGGGGTGTAATTCCCTCGAGTTGCCAGCCTATGCTTCTGCATTGTGCTCTCTCTCCAGTATAAAAACATGTTGGACAATTTCACTTGTATTTATAGTCAGTTTCTGGTCATCTTCTTGTCTTGTAATAATTGTAATTTTGCAAATAATGCAGAAAGACACTTTCTGAAATAAAGCAATCTTCCCCCATTTTTACTCTGGGACTTTATGGTGACTTTAGAGAGAGAAAAAATAAGTTTTTACTTCAAACAAACAAACAAAAGAAATGGCCCTGCAGTCATCACAGCTCAAAACAGACCATGGATTGCATTCCATCTTGTGTATCACCAGCAGAATTATTTACTAAATTCACATCAGTTATGCTTGTGAAAACATCCTGAAGACAGTGCAGTTTGCAGAGTGGCTCATGAAAGGGAAGAAAATTGGCTCACCCTTTATATTAGAGTTCCATTTATAAACCCTTTATAAATAAGCGCTGAAGAAATAGAAAATTATTGGAAATGATGATTTCATTGTACACAAAGAAAGTGACATAAAAATATGTGCATCAATCATCTAAATGTATAGGTAAGCACAGAAAGGAGAATGCTGCTAGAGAACTTGAATTTGATTTAAGGCCATTCCCTTTGTATATTTTGACGTGATGTTGACAGTTTGTGTTTTAACAGTTATAAAGCTTTAGCTTTTTGAATCTCAGCATCTACTGTCATTAATTATTGTCTGCCCCTCCCCATAGTTAACCAGAACTGTGAAAAATTTAACCAATGAAAATAGAAACAAATGCTTCATACCCAAAACTTTGTGCAACTATGAAAATCTAAATAAGTAAAAGTGGAAAAGCAATGCTTAAAAATAAATATTGATACTGTCCATTTAAATTATGAGAAAATCTAATTCTGCCATGCCTATTTATAAAGTTTAATAGATTACAAGACTGTTAAAGATATGGGTAAGTGGCTTCTTGACTGTTTCTGTACCAGCGTTTCTGATCAGAAGGTTGACCTCCTGCGACCTCCCCCTTGTTGAGATGGTGTATATTACTCTTTCCTTTATTGTTGTTTTGGGGTTCTGTGTGGTTACCCTCATCTCCTACATTTACGTCCTCTCCACCATCCTGAGAATCCTATCTCCCCAACACTGGCAGATGGCCATTTCCACTTGCTCTGCCCATCTCACCATTGTGTTTATATGGTATGGCTGCTCCATATTTCTCTACATCAAGCCTTCTAAACAGAACTCATTGAATATGAACAAAATTGTCACCCTCTTGAACACTGTCATGACACTGTTGCTGAACCCTTTTTTATACACTCTAAGGAACAAAGAGATCAAGGAAATCTTGACAAAGGCTTTCATGGTTTGTGTGTGTGAACAAGGCTGATATGAGATATGTCTCCATTTTACCCAAATCGTTGCTTGTGACACTTAGCACACTAACATTTTTGACTAATCTTTATATGCATTGACATAATTTTGCTTACATTCCAGAAAATGTTTATAAGACTCTCTGAAATTTTGGAGAAGACTTGGATGCAATTGCAAAATTGTGACAATACTTTTTTTTCACATCTGTCAACACCTCAGTGTAAATCTGACAGGCTTTAATAAACTTTTACATAATTTGACATCTCTCTAGCTCTATCACATCCTTTTGACAAAGCTCTATGGCCCACATCCTCAAAGTTATTTAGGCACTAAAATCAGGCTCACACATTCAAAGGAGCCTATGGAAAATAGGCAACACACTTTCATTCAGTTTTGACTGGATTTGTGGGCCTAACTTTCTTAGGCTCCTTAAAAAAATACAAAAAACAGTAAAAATTATAACGAACAGTAAAATACAAATATGGCTCCAGATGTTGGTAAACCTCACTTTTACAATTATGTTTAAATAAATTGGAAGGATTAGTTTTCTATACGTAAGGCCTTGTCTACACTACAGAGTTTCGTCAACAAAACAGTGGTGTTGCAATGCCACCACCATTTGCCAACAAAACTCTCCTGTTTTGGTGACAAAATAACATCACCGCAATGAGAGGCATAGAGCTTTTTGCGGCAAAGCTAGAAAGTGAGACAAACTCTCAGTGCCCTTGGTTTTGTTGCTGTAAATGGCCTCCAGGAGGTGTCCCACAATGCCAATCCTGACTGCTCTGATCAGAAGTTCAAACTCTCTTGTTCTGCACCCAAGTACACAGGCATCCACCCCCTCCCCCTTTAAAGGCTTGGGAATTTTTGAAATTCCACTTCCTGTTTGCTTGGCATGGAGAGCTCACATCACATTTTGCCAGGTGATCATAGCAGCTCCATGCAGCAAATGCTCTCCCGCTTGGACAACAGCTAAGTTATTGTATCTGCTGAGTATATGGGGAGAGGAGACAGTCTAGTCCCAGCTCCAATCCAGAAACTTCAGTAACTACAGGCTGATTTCTCATAGCTTGTGTGATAAGAGCTACAAATGGGACATGGTGCAGTCAAACCAGAAGGCAAGGGAGGCAAATTGTTGCTCTGATGCCGTGGCAAAGACCTGCGCCTTCTATAAGGAGCCGGACACCATCCTTGGCAGCAACCCTACCTCCACTGCCAAGATTCCTGTGAATCTTTTGGTGGGGCTGGAGGCAGTGGACAGTGGACTCAACCCTGAGGATGAAGTCGTGGACGAGGAGGTCAAATTGGAAGACATGGAGCACATGGGAAGGTTGTCCAGTGGCGCATGGAGTCAGGAACTCTTTTCCACTCTGAAGGGGCCTAGCCAGTCCCAGCAGTCCATCTCTGGCATGCATGATGCAGAAGAGGAGAGCCCTGGTATGTGAACTTTTTTTGTTGATGCTGCTCAGTTATATGAGGTAGGGCTCATAGACTCATAGACTTTAAGGTCAGAAGGGACCATTATGATCATCTGGTCTGACCCCCTGCATGATGCAGGCCAC